CCCCCCCTTCCGCACCCCAGCCGACGATAGCAATAGATGGTTCCGGCAGTGCCCGTTTTAAGAAGAATTAATGAAATCAGTTCTAAAATAATGGCTGAAATCAGTGAAAACTAAAATTGACAGTTACCAGAGATTAAACCGAGGTCATTCACGTCGAACAGCACTGTCAAATGACAATAATAAGGGCACTTTAGGTACTGGTTCCGATCCCGACTTCTTTATTTCTTCTCAAAAAGCGCACTGTCGGAACGCTCTATTGGTTTGAAAATTTTGATAACACACAAAGACACTAAACATGGACGCGCGCGCGCAGACACGACACCCACACAAGCGCGCTCACACGGTGCGAGCGCTGTTCGACGCGGCTGGCCGCGACAGCCTGACCCTCTCGCCTCGGCTGCTTAAAAGTAAAAGCACGAATAAAAGAAACGAACTAAAAATCAACATCCCACACTGCGGTTCGAGACTGTGGTTTTCTCCCGCTTCAACAACACTGTGGGCGATTTTGCAAATCGTTCGTCCACTGAGCTTATTAGCGGACTGATGGGTTCCGTCAGAAGACAGTCGGGTTAAGCTCGGCGACCAGGGCAAGCCCGGACCTGGCTCGAGCGAGACGCACCTTAACCCTTAACCTGTCCGCCTTCGTTGCACAATAATGTCTCTCACTCACGCTCTCTCTTTCTCACACACACAAGTTTCTGACTGCCTCCGGGGGTTCAAACGAAACAAGGCCCCAATAACTACGTGTGATAAAGGATAAACGGCTCAAATCTGCCCGCGTTCGCGCTGGTTAGGTTATGTCGGCCAGCCGATGCCGAGCGCCGCGCCCTCGGCCGCGCCGCTCTCACAGAAAAATATCAAGTCGGGAGTGAGGTTTCCAGTGCAGAGAGAGAAGGAACATAACACTTCGCATTTCAATACGGGAAAGCAGCACCCGGCGGCCGCCCGCATTTAATAAGGAAGAAGAGCGCTTAAGCGTCTCCACCTCCCCGCCGCCCGCTGCGCCGCACACTCGGACTTACCTGTTAATTCTTGCGTAGTTTTGTGGCGAGAGGTCTCTAGACGACGATGGCGCACTTTGCTCTGGTCTTCGGCGAAGTCTCCTGCAGAATCTGTGAGCCACGCAATGCACGAGGATACCAGGGAGTGGGGCGGCTCCAAATCGCACGACAGCGGCAACGGCCAACGACGATGCAGAGCGGTGCGAGGAGCGACCGTGCCGTCTGACGACTGGCTTCCAACTGACTGGCGACTGACTGCGCCTGGCAACTGGCTCGCTGGCTCGCTGGCTCGCTCGGCGGTTGGCGCTCGCGCTTGGCTCACCCACCCCACCTCAGCTCACCCCTCACTCACAGGCACTTGGCACTGCGACTGCGTTGGCGCTGGCTGCTGGCGGCCGCGCTGCGCGCTGGCTGGGCAGGCACAGACAGGCACTGGCTTCGCGGAGGGGAGGGGGGAGGGAGAGGAGGAGTTGGAAGACGAAGCAACGCAAACGCAGTTATTTGCGTCTCTCTCACACCAGAGGACGTCGAATGGGACAAGGGAGACAGAAGGTAAGAACCCTGAAATTCGATTGTTTTGTAGCGAAATATCCTATAGGGACGGCAACAGAGTACGAAATAATCTTGCTCAAATGCGACACTTTCACGGCAGACGTTGCCCCCGCCCCTCCCCATCTTTTAGTCTGTAGTAGTATGCTACCACCATAGCCTCCCCCTCCCCCCTTTCCCCCGAGACTTTCCTCTTGCTTCCCCTTTTGCCATTCCAGCCATGCGGCTCGCAGGAACACCATTCTCGAGGCAGTTTCTGGCAGATACAGTGAGACCAGCCTAAGGTCCGTCTTTTCACAGCACGGGCAGCATAGGAGTTTGCAGGCGAGAGGGGGTGAGGAAAAGAGGACCTTAGGCTGGTCTGGCTATATATTGTAAGACACGCGAGTGGGGTTGGGGGATTTAGGGGAAGGGGG